CTTAGGGTCTTACAGAGAAATGGGATTAGGGAAATAATTGCTGGTGAAAGTTTTGAAATGATTTTTGTGTTCCCTGGTAGCAAACAATAAAGAAGGGGACACTAGGAAGAATGCAGATCAGCCATGTGGGTACTTGCTTGGGATAGACTCTTAGCATCTCCATCCTGTCTGTCTCGTGATGGGTTTGGTGGCCAGCTTGTCTGTTTGTGTTGCCTTGAGAGGAGTTCAGAAGCTTTTCTCCCTCAGTGACAACTTGCTCTCTGTCACATTTTCCCCTCCCTCTACCCACCTGTCACCACCACCCCTGCGGAAAAAAATAAATAAATAAACAAATAAAAGGAGAAACAGAAACAAATGAAACCAAATGCATTAGGATACAGTTTCTGGTCTCTAGCTTTACTTTTCTCAACTCTTTTTTTTCTAATTACTCTTGGAAGAAAGTTCCAAAACGATGTGCACGCTGGAACCAGAATTCTTGAAGTTGAGGCTAAGGCACTTCAGAATACACGTATGAACATTCCATTTTCACAAGCGGGACTTGGAGCTTTGCACTTGGGGACCCAGGTGCGGCTTCTGCCTGTCCTTCCTGATGCCCTGAGATTGAGGTTAGCGTATGTGTAAAGAAGTGAAAACAGATTTTTTTTTCTTTCCGTTCAACATTATAAATTGATTGTGCATGATCACATTTCTTAAACAGAAGGGTTTATTGACATTTTTGAATCCTTTAAAATAATAGTATAGGAAACAAACTGGTGGCCCTCAGGCAGGAGACAATCTGAAAGCATATTTTGTTTGGCTTCTAGAATGTTTAAATAATATGCATTAGTTGCTCATATTTATAAACTTGATTATTTCTTATAACATTCCAGATTTCTACCTTGTCTTGAAATATAAGAAAATTTGGCACAAGATGGGTGGCTGCCACCTTTAGGCTAGGCCAGTGGCTGCAGTTTGCACCTGCCTGTGTGTGCCTTTGTGCCCTGTTTTGGCCCTCTGGGCATTTGCATTTACACCCATTGTTGCCACAGCAAGAGACAGCTATCCTAATTTTGAAAGTTAGGTTCTAAAATTCTATAAAAATTTGTTCTCCTTTAAGGAATAAGGCATTGGTGAGGAAAAGAAGTAAATTCTGACAATGTTTCTAATATCAGAAGTGAGCAGAGAAAAGTTTCACAAGCATCCTTTTTTTCTTGAAAGTACATTGGAGGGCCCTGTTCATGTACTGTTCTGGCCTGGAAGTCCATTTGAAAGTTTTGCTTGGGAGGGAAGTTGGATGTGTTATAAGAATAATATTATATTCCCCAAATGTGACTTGCTCAGAATTTTCTATGTAAATGTTATGACAAAAGGAAGTTGTCTTTATTATCCAGCTTATTTTGAGTTAAGCAGGCTTTGGTGACACGGCCTTAGATTTCTGTTCCTGTGCACCCCCATCCTGCTGCTCACTGACCTCCTCAGTGGAGTCCTTGATCCGTGGCTGCTGCCGGCGCTGACTTTGTGCTTGCTTGCTCGCTTGCTAATGCCTGCATGCTCGTTCCCTGCCAGCAGGAATGGAATATTACAGCTTCACTTTGGGAAGCCTCTGATGTGGGTCCTGAATGGAGCTTGCCTCTGTGCTACAATGGTTGAGGCTGAAGCCGGGAGGGATTAAGTGCTTTACCTTCAGTCATACTGCTAATTAGTAATGGAGCCAAGATTAGAGTCTAAATCTGGCAGCACCTGGTCCAGAGCTCTTCCTCCACTGCCTGCCTCTACCCCCCACCCTGTTGCCACTTCTTGCTGGCATGGCACTAGGGCACACGGCTCTTTTCTAGAATAACTGTTAACTTGCAGTGAGGGATTATTTCATTTCAAGATAATGTTTAGCCAGTCAGTGAATATGGTTTATGATTACTTTAGTCAGGGTTTGAGTTTTTGGGTCATGTTTGGTCTCCTTTATTCAGTTATTCCTGTATAGCTGTGTAATTCTGTAACTTTAGCAACTGGCATTTTAGACATTCCGTGAATACATTTTCATTCTAATGAGTAAACTCGATGACACTGGAATTGACTAGGAAGTGATTCATTCATCCAGAAAATAATTGAACACTTTTGAAATGTGTGCTCGTGCCTTGTGCATGTTTTAATTATTTAAGCTATTTGGGGATTCATTTCCTGGTTTTCTGACAATACTTAACAGTAGCCAGGAAGAGATCTTGCCATCTGCTTTTACTAAGAATATTTTTTGAAATCTGTCATTGGGTTCCCATTATTTGAATGTTGGATCTCCTTTCCTTTATCAAGTCTCTGTTTCTCATTTCTCTTCCCACATTTTCTGTTTTTTTTTTGTCTTTTGTTTATTTGTGAAAGATTGTTCAATGTTTTGTCTTTTTATTTTAATTTTTAATATTAGCCAATGTATTTACCTTCTAAGAGATATTTTTATTTCTGATTATTCCTTTCTCTTTGCATCCTCTTCTTGTTTTTATGGCTGTGCCAGGTTTGCTCTGAAGATACTATTTAGAAGTTGAGGAGGTTTTTTTTTCTTTTTTAAGTTTTCTTGTTTCTTACATTATCCTGATTTCCCATGGGAGTCATTTTTATTTTCCTTTTGGCTATCATGTTTATCCTGAATTTTTCTTTAGTATGTTAGGCTTTGCTTGTATGTTTTGTGGTCCTTGGTTGTCTGTGCCAATATGAAACGAGATACTATTGGGTCTGAGAAGGAGTTTTCAGTACGTTGGTAGGACTTGTTGGCTGGCAGGCATCACTCTAGGGAGAACAGATGAAGAGCGGACGGGAATTTTGTGACTCGGGGACATCCCTAAATGTCTGACGTGGAAAAATTTGCTCCTTGGCCCCCATGTCTGCATTAGCTACTCTGGTTCTTCTCAGACTGTTCCTTGAGGCTCTGTAGGGAGAATGCCTTTGAGGGGGAGTGGGAGCATATCAGAGTTGACTTGTGTAAACAGATCTTTGAATCCTTAGGTTCAGCCCCAAATCTCACTGTCCCCTTCTCCACGTACTGAGAGGGAACTGAAAATGGCATCACCGTCCGCCCATCATTATGTAGCCGCCAGATCTAGTAATCACCTTCTGTCACTTCTGCTCTTCTGCATACACCTCACACAATACACAAAATATACCTGTAGCTCTGACCACGTGCTTGGTATCATTCCAAGCACTTTACTCACATTTACTCACTTGATCCCCACAACAAATTATGAGGAGAATACAGGTATCATCCCCACTTTACAGATGAGGAAACTGAGGTACAAAGAGGTCAGGGTCACATGGTAAGTGTCATAGAGCATGTCTGGAGTCACACAGCAAGTGGCATAGCTGGGATTCAAACCTAGTCTGTGTTTGTAACTACCACACTGTCCTCCTGTGATGTGTGGATGGACCTTCCATCTCTGGAGCAGATCGTGAGTCTGACCACCCTCGCCACTCCCGCTCTGTGAGACGTCACACTGTAATCTCTTGGGATCGTGGTTTCTCTGCCTCTGCTGTCCTCCCCTAGAGGCTGTCCACCACGGAGCAGCTGGAGAAGTCTCTCTAAGGTGCAGATGAGATCGCAGGGTCTCTCCTGAGTGCGCCATTCCAGTGGTGTCTCTTCTCAACCCGTTCAACTCCACACCCCTCCACACCCCTCCACACCCCTGCCCAGCCGCCTTTCCCTTTCCCAGCCGAGCTGTCCTTGTCTTAGTGTCTTGCTTTCTCTCATTTCATCCTGGCGATGTCCTTCTCACCAGAAAGGTCTCAGCTCAGAATCAGAGCTTCTTTCTTTGCACTCTCAAGCACATTGCCTTATTGTAGTTTTTAAAGCACATATCTTGATCTTAAATTCCATATTTGTTCATGTATTTGTCTCTCTGACCAAGAGTCTAAACTTTTTTTTTTTTTTTTTTGAGACAGAGTCTCCCTCTGTTGCCTGGGCTAGAGTGCCGTGGCATCAGCCTAGCTAACAGCAACCTCAAACTCCTGGGCTCGAGCCATCCTCCTGCCTCAGTCTCCCGAGTAGCTGGGACTACAGGCATGCGCCACCAAGCCTGGCTAATTTTTATGTATATTTTAGTTGTCCAGTTAATTTCTTTCTATTTTTAGTAGAGATGGGCTCGAACTCCTGAGCTCAAATAATCCGCCTGCCTGGGCCTCCCAGAGTGCTAGGATTACAGGCATGAGCCACCGCGCCTGGCCAAGAGTCTAAACTCTTACGGGAGGAACTTACCTTATTGGTGCTGTGCCACAGGCCTGGGCCAGGAGGCCGTCTCTAAGCACCTGCTGACAGATACGTCTCAGGTACCTCCCCAGCAGCCAGCCCTTCCTCTGTCGCAGCCACCTCCCCCCACCCCATCCACCGGAGTCAAGTCACTGCTCTTCTGAATGCTTTGTCTCTTCAAGGGAAATGTGTTGAGGTCTCTTGTACTGATGGTTCCTTTCCCATTGTAGTTGTTGGAGTATTTGTTAAACTGCAGCCATTTGTGTGTCATCATCAATATTTTTGTCACTCTGCAGCCCTCCATCCTATCATTTGCCCTAATTTGTTCTCTTTAAATTATTTAAATTTAAATCTGTATGAAATAGAAACTTTAATCATGACAGAAATGGAGGACAGCACCAATATTTCATAAATAAGTGACAAAAATTAACACATACTAATTAAAATAAAAATATCAATCCATGTATCATTTAAAATGGTCAAAACTTCAGTTTTATGCACTGCTTTTCTTTATTCTAGTGGTGGTGGAGTGGAGAGTTGACAAACACGTGCTCAGTTATAAACTAGAACTTTCCGAAGCCCACCGTTCGAGAATTGGCCCCACAGTGGACACGTGAAGCGACAGCCGTGTCCAATTGTTGATGTCTCTAAGTCTCGCAAACTCAGCTTCAGTATCTCCAGAGTCATTGGTGTACAGTCTGTTTCATGATCTGTCAGTGTCCCTGTCATTCGTGGGCACAGTGTGAGGTGTGTCTTCAGAGCAATTTGAACACCGTTTGAAATTTTCCTCCTAACCTAGGACTAACTGCATTGCACGGACAATGGACATTTACTTATGTTCGAAACGACCATCCTGGCTGGTGGACAATAGAAGGATGAGGACTACTTCAGATTTCCAGTGGCTCCTGTCAGCATTTGTTCTTCTGTACTTAATGAATCATGTAAATAGCCAGAGAAAGGGTAAGTACTTCAGACTTACAGAGAACCGACAGATTGTAATTTTATTTCCATTTTGATTATAAAGCAATTTTGTTTCTTTATTGAATCCTTTGGGTTTTTGGTGGTTAAAATTCACTTCTCTGTAACCTTTTTTCTGTGTATTTTTGGTTTTTGTTTTTTTTTAAGGACCTTAAAGATAGATTAAAATATTCTTTTACCATTTAAAAAAATTAAAGTATAATTTACATTTATGTATAATAAAATTCACCCTTTAGGATACAGTTCTGTGAGTTTTGACAAAGAAGGTGGTTATGTAACCACTAGCCCAGTCGAGGCAGGGGGCAGTGCCACCCCCCAGAAGCCTCCCAGCCTCTGTAGTCAGCCCCTCCCAGGCCACTGGGCCAGCACTGCTCTGCCTCCATAGACACTGTTTTGTGTCTCGATAATTTTACATTTTTAGAATGTCCTATCACTGAAATCTAAATACCTTTTTAATATGTTATTTGTCACCATCTTATTTAAATATATTAAGAATGTTTGTCTAGATATTACCTAGCTTATTTCTAGAAAGGACATTATCATCCTGCTACCCCTTGGTTTAGTTTTTATATTATTTACATATTTAAACAGATCTCTTCTCCAGGTCACTCTTTAAACAGCTTTATTATTAATGATTATTGCAGCTTTCTAATGTGAGCACTCCTAATATAATGTTTCTGTTTCCAGTCTTATATAAATTGCTTCATAATTTATTGCTACAGTGAATATCATGCCAACCATGTAGAAAATAAAAGAAAAAATCTTTTTCATAGACATTTATAGAATTTGAGATGGAATGCCTGTTTTATACTATAGTTGCTTTTTTCCCTTTTTTCTCTCTTTCTTTCCTTTTTTTCCTTCCTCTTCTCTCTTGTACCTTCCTTCTTTCTTCTCATTTTCTTTTTAGGGTGACTTTTTTCATTGCATGGTGTTCATGTATTCCATGATGTAATGTTATTTTATAGACGTAGATAAGTAGTATTAGGATTATAATTTTCCATATTATTTGTTACTTCTCAGTTGTTTAGGCCCACACCAAAAATATATTTTTCAAATGAACTCATGTGAGTTTGTTATGGTTTAAATTTAACATGCTTCATAACAGTCTAAAGATTGGCAGTGGGATTTCCGTGGAGGGTGGCAGTCTGGAAGCAAGCAGTGAAGTGGTTGTGGCTAGACGTTCAGAAGCTGTGTTTGTAGATATGGAAGGCACATGGTTTTCACTTAGACTTTATTTATTTATTTATTTATTTTGCAGATGGGGCTATTGGAGATTCAAGGGGTGCTAGAATCCTCCAGACCCCATCTTGGTCCCATCATTCAATCTACATAGTCAGTTACTCCCTCAATTTGCCTTAGTTGCCTGGAAGTGGAATTTTCGATAGAAGTCTGACCCCAAACTGGTTTAGTCATTGGCCTACTTTCATCACTTTACCCTTTAGCTTTTTTTGACTAAAGCTACAAAAGGAAATATAAATATAAATATAAACCAGTCCCCTCTGATGACTGCAGGCTCATCTGTTCCCAAAGAACATGGGCCCTCTGTAGACACACGATTGTGCTTACGAATGAAAATGGTTTGACCGGGTGACCTTTTTCAATGAAATTGAGTTATTAAGCATGGTATGTGTGTGTGTGTTATTTCTCCCTCTCCAGAGACTCCTTATGATTTGAAGTGTACAACTAACAATTTACAAACGTGGGACTGTTCTTGGAAAGCACCCTCTGAAGCAGGCCATGGCACTCTTTCTGAATTTTGCATTGATAACAGGTAATGGAAATACTTCGATGAACTCACAACTGTAAACCTAGACGTTCTTTATCTTTAATTTTAGAATATAAAGATTTTATTTTGGAAATTTTTATAATGAAGTTTTAATTGTTAGCTCTCTATTTCTTAAAAATTCTGAATCTTACATCAGTCAAGATGGAAACAAACCCTTTGCCTGGCCAAAACTTTGATTCTTTTATTATATGAATAACAAATGTGGAACGTACCTCCAATGTGTTGATCTACGATGGGGACGTTTTACTGGTCTACCCCAAACCAACATCTGCCTGTATCAGTTAGGTTTACGTTTGGCTGTGCCTAACAGGAAATGTCAGTAATAGTGGCTCAACAGACAGGCGTTTACTCTCATGTGGAAGGCTTGGAGGTAGGCAGTGCAGGGCTGGCATGGGTGGTTATGGCCATCAGACCCAGTCCTTCCTTGTCATGCTACTGTGCTATTTTTAGCATGTGATCTCATGGTTCAAGGTGATGCTTGAGGCACAGCCATCATGTCTGCATTCCAAGAGGCAAGAAATAAGAAGAAGGGCAGTTTACTGTAAGGAGACTGCCAAATCCCACACAACACCTCTGCTTACGTCTCACTGGCCAGAACCTATGAGATGGCTAAACCTAGCTGCACAAGAGGCTGGGAATGTGTTCTAGCTGTATGGCAGCGTGCCTGGTAAACACTGGGTTCCTGTTATGAAGGAAAAGGAGGAAATTGGCATTAGGAGGCAGGTGCCAGGTTCTATTACCTGACCTCTCAAGTCATCTTGGAGTGGGCTAGAAGCTTCTAAGCCTGAAGCTTAGAACAATTCTCATTGATTTTCCCTAATCTCAGCAGGGCACTGAGTTGCCTAGCAGTGCCAGAGGAGTTCTAGCATGCTGCTCCCAGTCTCAGTTTCCTGGTGAATAGTCCTAACGTAAATTGACATAAATGTGTGTTTAAATGCAATTTGATTTTTCCTCATTCAGTGTACATTTATTGAACATTAGTCTTAAGTATTGCAGTAATTTATCAGTCAGGATGAGCTAGGTTGTGTTGCAGAAACAACACTTAATTCTTATTTCTTTATTTCTTGCTTATGAAAATAAAGGATTATTTCCTGCTTGTGTTCTGTGTCTGGGGGTTCAGCTGGGATCTCTGCCCTGTGTTCCTCCTGTAGGGCCCCAGGCAGCACGAGGCCTGGAGGTAAGGGAAGGAGAGGGGACACAGCCTGCACTGGCTTTCAGAGCTTTCTTTCTGATCTGATACATACGACTGTCACTCAAATTTCTCTGGCCAAATAAAGCCACATGGCTAGGCCCTGCTTCAGAGGGGCAAGGAAGGGCAGTTCTACTGTTAGTCCAGGAGGGGGAGCCTGGAAAGTTGGGTAAACAGCAGGAATGCCCACCGCAGGCCACACCGAGAGGCGGTAAGTTCCGGTTCCCCGGGAGTTCACAATAGAGAAATGGTAGCAAGGCTGTGGGAAACGTGGAAGTTCCATGTGAAGGGCTGGAGTGTGGAGACCAGGCAGCGTGGGAGTCCCGAGAGGCCGGCAGAGGAGGTGTAACTGTGAAGTAGGCATACTCAGTTTTTTCAGCAGAAAAAAACAGAAGGACATTTCACCCTGAAAGAATATTGGGTACAATGGCTTGAACCTATAAAATGGCATGATTTGGAAAAGTCAGGTGGTCACCATAGGAGGTCAAGAAGGAGGTGAGCCGGACCATTCAAGTCCAAAGTCCCAAGTGAATAGTGTAGAGGTGGGCGCTGGGTGCTGGGAGGGGGCAGGAATGCAGGCAGCAGGAAGGTCCCTCTGCTCCTATTAAAATTGTCCTGAGACATTAGCAATTATACATGAATAACAATAAAAAGAATGTAAACATGCTCTAGAGAGATAAAAAGGGCTGTGACCAGAGAGGAAAACACTACTTTGTCTAAGAGATACTGGATGTGGAACTGGAAGGTTTTGAAAGCAGAAGTGAAGAGGGAGTTTTGTTCAGAGTAAACCGTGAGCCAAGGCACGGGAGCGGGCAGTCGCCAGTTCCGTTTTCTTGTGTGAGCATCTGTTGAGCATGCTTTTCATCTGAGTAGCTGGGTGATGCTCCCCACCAGTGGGGTGGGGGGGTGTGTGCCGTAGGAAGTAAGGCTGCAAAGGAGAGCTGGAAACGGGACTTCAAAAAGGTATGCTAAGAGCCCACATTTCTAGAGTCATCTATACTTACTCTACTTTTTGGTACAATCTGGTTATCTTCCCTGCCACCACACTGATAAAATTACCATTAATCTTCTTTTCCAGTCTTAAAAGGTAGTACAACCTGTTATGTTTTTGTAAAAAAAAAAGCAGGGGGGAGGTGGCATAAAATATTTTCCAGTGTATTTTGTGCTAATCAAGTTTTTGTGAAAATTGCACTGTTAATTTTATCTGCAAATTAAAATTCCATTTCTTATATTACAGGTCCCGTTCTTGTTATCAATTAGCAAGAACAAATATTGAAATCCCAGCTCTTTCACGTGGTGATCATGAAATAACAATAAGATCTCTACAGGATGCTGGAAGTTCTACAAGTAAATTCATACTAAATGAAAAAAACATTTGTAAGTATTTGAAAGAAAATTGATTTTAAAATAATTCAGAACAATGCTGTTGTTAGTATTGTGGTGTTTTATTGTTGGCAGAAACTTACTGTTCTTTGAAGTTCAGTTGTTATACAAACACTTTCATTTACTTAGCGAACCTTATTTGGCTCCTAAAGCATAGCCAAGATCAGGAAGGAAGCAAACTTGTCGTCTTCTAGTCAATCAAAATATACAACCCAGAATTCAGGATCCTTCCCTTGGTCCGATACTCTTTCCTTAGCCCCCTTTACCTCCCTGAGTCCTGCATACCCACCACCATTTCTCAGGTGCCCTGAGACAGTCTTTGGCCACCCGGTCCCAGAAGAGACTCCATTGCTTTCTTAACCTACCTTTAGGCAAGCTCTACTTCTCTCCCTTGGGACGTTTCTCACAGTTGAATTAATAATCCATTGGGTAGTTAGTGGATTACTGTGTCTCCTTTACAAGAAAATAGGTTCCATTAGGTCAGCGACTTTGTCTTTTACACCAAACACCTTGAACAGTGCTGTGCATGTAGCAGGCATTTATTACAGGTTTGTTGATGAGATGTCTAGGACATTTGCCTCAAGCACATTGGAAACACAAACAAACGCTGGCTGACAGACATGGAAATTTTGCTATACAACAAGATCTTAAAAACCTGAAGTGGTCTTGACTCATAATGGTGGCGCAGGGAGGTTTGTACACCCCTGACAACTGTGATGGGACGGCGTCATAATGATGACTGACTTTGAAGCAAGGGAAAGAAAAAGTATCATTCATTTGGCACTTGATACAATTCTATGGACAAGATGCATGTTTGGAGTGGTTTATGTCTGAGACAGCACAGATTTTGAAAGGATAATAGCAACCACATGCTGTCCAAGAACATAGAGTCTGTCCCATTTTCTAGCTGAAGTGTTATTCTAGTGAAGTGTTGTCCTAAGTGCTAATTAGGGCTATCTTTTAGGATAATGGGAGAGGAACCATGTTTGTTACTTTTTTTCTGTATTGTGTGTGAGATCCCTGTGATGATATTTTATGTAGATCAGCCATGATTCCAGTACCCAAGGAGAAATACTGTTAACACTGAAATACATTTTTTTATGCATATACATTTAAATAGTAAGCTTCATACTGCTTAATAGAGGACATACAATAAATAGGTTTTCAGGTCATTATCTTTATAAGATTGTATTATGGTATGCAAACTATCATCTTTTTCTGCCTCAGTTCACAAGAGCTTTCTCTATGTTATGGTTTAATCTGTCATATTTGCTGCAAATATTTTTCTGAGTTTATAATTTTTTAGATGCGATTTTTTTACACCATTAAGTTTTTATTTTTATATAATAAAAATCTCTTGCTATATTTCTTTATGAGTTTTTGGTTTTGCTATCATGTTTGATTTAAATCTTTCATCCATCTGGAATTATTTTGTAGCAAACTGTGAGGAATCTAACTTAATTTTATTCCAGATTTTTTAAATCCCCAGGAGTCTAGAAGAGAGCCAGTTTGTATTGTCTCATTATTTCAGTAGGTATCCAAAGTTCTTGTCTGGGAAGCTACTTGAAGATGACAGTATTAGATAGAAAGAATTAGAAAGATGAATGAAGACTCTAGGTTACTCAGTCAGTTTAGTTTTTTAATATATTGGTAGCAGTTTTAATAATAATGGGTCTGATCATGATTAGAATAATAATGTTGGGATAAGAAAATTGAAAAGCAAGTTAGGTAAATATAAGAAAGGGAGGTTGATGCATCAGCGATTCTTTGAATACCTACTACGTGCAAGAGAAGCTGTGAAATGGCAGTATAGCCGTCCATTAGAGGATTTAGATTCTTTGACAGTTTGCTATTAAAGTATGAAAAATTCAGTTTTCTCCAGATCTGAAGATGCTTTGAAAAGCATACAAAACAAATAAGATTTTATACCCACACACCATAAAATTTGTACCTATCAAGGACAATCACAAAAAACAAATCTTTGTAAGACTTTTAATGTCCGAGTGTCTTAAAGTAACCTGAAAATTTGGATTGTTCTGATACAGAATAAATAATTTGGATCCTATAAAAAAAATGGGAAGACTGCTGTCACCTGATGTTCTAAGGAATAAAGAGCATGTAGTTATGGGTAAACCTGCACTAGCTTAAAAAAAAAAATAAGCAAGACTTTGATTAAATTCCTTCCCTATCTGAAAAGTTCTGAGTTTCTAGAGAGCAAGTTAACATTGTCCTCAGTTGTCTGTTTTAGCTGGAAAGAAACGCAGATGGCAGTTCATGGCAGCTTAGGGGAAGCTTCCACGTATGCTCTGAAGAAAAGGAAGGGAATGGTGGCTTTTTAAAATCCTTTCATTTGTAATTATGGCTGTTACTGTCTTTAGCTTGAAATATTGGATATTACTTGTGTTTTAAAGAGTAGCCCACTGCTATCGAAATAAAATGTAAATTATGTGGACTTTTCGGGGAGGGAAGCATTTTTAAAATGACCGTTGCCTTAGTAAAATACTCCCATGTTTCACAATTTTTAAGTTACTGCATCGTGACATATTTAATCATTTGAAAGAAGAACCACATTGTTGGAAGCGTCTTGCTCTTTTCTGGACACACTGGCACCTTGAACTTTCCCTCTCCTGGCACTAAATCAACTTCTTGCCTCTCATTCACCTGCATTTTTTCCTTTTTTTACAAGCAGTTTCCCACTTAAAAGTTTCTCTATAAAGCATCTTCCACTGCGCTTATATAGCTGTGTAACTGTTGACTTTGTTGCATAGTGTAGACTGTAAATCCACCTGTTCTAGGTCCTATACAGCCCTAAACGTTTTATATAAATTCAGTGTAGAACACTGTGTTCAGCAAATTTTAGTTAATTTTAGTTATATTTTTAAGAACTTATTTGTAAGTTTCAAGCCTAACTTGTATTGGTTTGTTCTGCCCTTCTTGCTACTTAGCATATTCAGCTATCCTAGCCCTGTACGCTCCTGCAGTTTTGTGTTTACGGTGACTTTATTTAATCAGTCCTTGAGCTTCAGAGGAACGACTAGGATAGAAATGAGGCAAGAAAGGGTGCATCTCTGGATTTCTTCTAACTCACCTTCCCTTTACTGTCATTTGAGGAGGAAACATGCAAGACAGTCTAAGTCTCTGCCCCTCACACCAGAAGGCCTACGTTTCGTAGCATATAACGTGCTCAGACCTTCTTTATTTTGCACCAATCCAAAATTTTTAATGATTTGCTCATCCTTTATAGGGAGACCAGATGATTTTTGTGGATACATTACTCTTTCTGCCACCTTTTATTCTAGTGTCCCAGTTTCTCCCTAAGAGATGCTCAAACCCTTGAGCATGAGTTTTCCCTTTACCTTTTGTAATGCGGCTTCCCAGCCCACAAAACTTCCCTCTCAGATGTTGACATCAGTCTCATCAGTGGTCTTTCCTCGGTCTTCCTCTATAAACTCTGTTTTATTTGGCCCAGATGACAACTGTTTCCTTTTATCTCAGTGATCCTGGATTTTCCCTGGTTTCCTTGTGCGTCTACATCTTTCCCCCTCCGGATTCTTGCTGGTGTCCTTGTAAGTATAATAGTCCATCAGCAGCCCCTAAAACAAGCCTTGGCTGCCTTGTGTCTGTGTGTTCATGTTCTTTCTTCATCTGTACCCGGTGAGTTCCTCTTGAGTCCACGTCCTTGGTTCTGACTTGTTACCGGCTCAGTCAGCCATCCCAATGGTCTCTTCTTCCCCTGACACCGAGTCGTTCGTCCACAGCCCTCTTTTGTTCCTTTACAGTGGTCCTCATCGCTTTTTCCTTTCTTGCTGTTTTCTGGACTAGAAACTTGAGAGACTATCTGTTGTTTCTTTCTCGTTAGAGCTAAGCTTTCATTTCTTTGATTCAGTCGTTTCTTTGGAATATTCATCAGGCTCTGTCTTTTCTTTTCCATATATGGCATCATAATCCATATCCTTATTACTCCATCCAGGATTCCTCCAGTGGTCTCCTAATTGATCACCTCATCTCCACATCTCAATCCCCTGCAGACCGTGTTGTATACCACTGCCAGACTAACCTTTCTGACGCACTTCTTTCATCCTGCTGCCTCTGCACAGTAACCGTTGGCTTCTGAACTCATTGCCTTAGTCCCTGCAACAGTCTTGCTTATTTAATGATGTCTAGAACCAGTGATAGCCTATAACATTCCTCTAATCGGTGACATTCCCAGCACATGGCGCTCCGACGCCAGGAGGTGAGTGAGAAGAAGGCTGCAGAGAAAACAGATGGAAACCTTTACCAAAGCAAGATTTCTATATTTTGTCATTTCCTTAGGCCCAACCCGCAGTCGTACACAGGAAGCTCTTTACCTTCTCTCTGATGCTGCCTACTTGTAGGTTCCAGACCAAATGACACTAGAATATTGTGAGAACCCACTTGCTGTTTATATTGGAAAATGTGTTACGGATTTGAAAGAGCCAGCTGATAAATAATTTTCTAAAAGTTGCGTAATTTACCATTGGGAGCTGCCTCTATAAACAAACACATATATTCTCTTTTTTCAGTAATAGGTTTGAGAGTTTACCTTTAAATCTTGATGATTTATTTTTGATCAAGAAGGAATAGAGTTTAAAAATAGTTGATGAGTGGAATTGTGGTATGAGAAATCAGTATTTATTTTACTAAGTTTTCTCTCTCTCTTTTTTTAAAGCCTTAATTCCAGACACTCCAGAAATCTTGAATTTGTCTGCTGATTTCTCAACCTCTACGTTACATGTAAAGTGGAATGACAAGGGTTCTGTTTATCCACGTCATTCAAATGTCATCTGGGAAATTAAAATTCTACGGAAAAAGAGTATGGAGCTTGTAAAATTAGTAAGTTTGAACAAAAATACACTTTCCTTCTTATGAAATTAAACTGAATAAAAAATGAGTGCGATGCACACCTCCCGGGGAATGGACACACTTGAAGCTCGGACTTGGTGGGGAGGGAGGGTAAGGGCATCATATGTAACCTAATCATCTGTACCCCCATAACATGCTGAAATTAAAAAAAAAAAAAAAACACAACAACAAAAAAACACTTTTAAGGTGGTATCAGTGAACTTTTGGATTATTCAGTAAGTATATTAGATATCTTTTAGGATTCATTAAAAAAATATGCTTTATAGTATATGTATCACAGTATTACTATGTACCCCATAAATATGTACAATTATTGCACGTCAAAAAATTCTATAACCCAATATGCTATGATTAAAAAATCACTTTTTAATTATTAAAACAATGTGTAACCATTATAGTTTAGGAAATTAAGGGAGAAATAATCCGTGATTCCACCCCTTGAGCACAGTAAGTGTTATGTTTGTGTATTCCTATCTAGACTTTTTAATATGCATGTTTTACATAAAGAAAATGAAAATGTACATTTGATTTAGTGTATTTTATCTTTGTCTAATATTGCACATAAATGTTTTGAAACATCTTTAGCCGTAGTAATTGTTGAGAAATTTTGTATAAATCTGTAAGTTTGAATTTATCAGAATCTGAAATAACATTTTTATAATTAGTACTTTTTTCCTCTCCCTTATATTTTTAATCCCATTTATGAGTGATTTCCTTTTTATATACATTTAGTTTGCTCTTAGTCTAAGGGGTAATGAGGAATAACTGTGAAAAGTTTGACAGCTGATACCTGGGAGTGCTCCAATTTAGCCCTGTCCTTTTTCCCTCCTTGATGGATTTGGAATATGCTTAGTTGTAGATATAAGAGTTAGAAGACTCATGATCTTCTCATGGTCTCATGGTTTTACAGTTTATTTGCCTAAGTACATAGATAAAATAGGAGAGATAATAAATAGGATTATTCTGTATTTCATGGTTACTTTCTTATTTCTCCTTTTTGGTAACCTATGACAACCTATGCATGTCATTCCTAAGATAATAACAGTCATAATTATAGTTAGCAGATATCTAGTGCTTCTGCTTTTCCTGACATTGTTCTAAAAACTCTATGTATGTTAATTCTTTTTATCCTCATAACAGTCCCCAGGAGGGGATGACACCGACTCGGTGTCAGGGATTATTCCTATCCCCATTTTGCAGATGAAGATGCAGAGTCACTGGAAGACATTAAGTGGTGGAGCCAGGATTTGAACCCAACAGTTTGGTTTCAGTCTGTGCTCTTAGCCACTGCAATTTGTATTTTATAATTATATCTTTTCATCTGAAATTCCCTCTCCTTCCTTTTCACCTATTCCAGCTGAACCTACATTTCAAGACCCAGGTCAAATTCTGCCCCTTATTTTAAAGCCCATCATAATTTCAGCCTAAAATACTCTTTTTTCTTGATTTTAATGATAGTTCTATTATATCAATCTAATTTGCAGTTAGCTTTGATATAACTCTACCATTGTTGCCTTAAAACCATTACTTATTTAAAACTGTGTTGCTTAACTTTTCATTATGGCCTAACATTCTGTATTCTGGGGTTACCACTTACTGGCCTACAGTGACTTTTCTTATTTGTAAAGTGGTGATAATATCTGCACTTGGGTCCCAAAAGTAAAGAGTATGATATCTGTAAAGCTGCTAAACAAATATTATTTGTCATTACTTCTTTTGGGGGCTAGGCTTTTTTATTTTTAAAGTAATTTCAAGAGGAACTAATGGGGGAATACTAGAATAAGAAGTATACTCTGAAATGGGAATGAAGTCAGACATAAATAAAAGGAACTAGTATTCTAAAGCCATGTAAGTCATTGCCACAGACATACAACAAGTTGACAGTGACAAGGTAGTAATTCCCTACTTTTGGGAAAAGTCTTTGTATGGAGAAATAATTGCAAGAGGAAAGGAAAATAGAGAAAGAACAAATTAATTTAAAACAGTGAAGTAAAAGGGGAAAATGCTTCAGGTCTATAGTAAAATGTGACATTTTTATTCATAAAAATATGTTATTAATATCAGTATTTAAGTCAGAATTGCTTATAATCCGTTATTTTGTGATGGGTCATAATGCTATCATTTTGTAATAATTTAAAAATCAAGAACCCCGTGCATTCATGTTTCATTTGCAAGGCTGTTGTCCACCCACAGTCTCTCTGGTTTGGGGATGGCACTCCCCATTCTCTGCTCTTCCTGAGATCCTTTAATCCAGAGGTGTTCTGTTTCAGTTTTCCAGACGTAAATCTTCATTCTGCCGTGGCTAACAAGGATAGTCCTTTGGTGCATAGAGTGTGGGAGCGGATCTGGGTGTCTAATGTATCTTCAGACAGCTTTCAGGCAGTCTTTCTGTCTGGAGCTCACCTCACCCTGCATTTCCTGGGGAACCTGGTGCAGCCACTTGCTGAGCCCTTTGGCATTTCTGTGATAGAAACTAGGTGGTCCCTGGTTTTTCCACTGGAAGCTTAAGATTCAGCTTTCTCAGGGCTTCTAAGTCAGTTACTATCATCCACCTGCTTTCCAGCTTCCAAAATGTTTGTGATGGTGCTTCCTCTCCTGTATTTTGTCCTCATGCAGCTGTGCCTTTAAAAAAACAATGTGTTTACTTTTGTTTTTATAAGGATTTCAGAAGCTAAGAGAGAAGGAAATTTGTTCAATCTCTTGTCTTTAATTAGAAGTCCCAAGTTATCGTTTAGGAGAGCCTCAATATTTTATTGAAATCTTGCCCATTTCTCACAATTGAGATTAATATATTATTATAAGTTGTATATTTAAAAATAAATTTTAAAATATAGAATGCTTATATAAAACCAAATCTAGTTTAAAACAGTTTATTTTATTGAAAGGCTGCTCTTCTCCTTGACTTCAGCTCTTGGAGGTACAAACCCTTTAATTATTTTTTCTCCATGAAAAATGGAGATCATTAAGCAGTGGTATATAGGTTGAGCATCCTTAATCTGAAAATCTAAAATTCAGATTGCTCCCAAATCCAAAACGTTTTGAACACTAACATGACATTCAAAGGAGATACTGGAGCATGTTGGATTTCAGATTTCTGGATTAGAGGTGCTCTACTGGTAGGTTATAATGCAAATATTCCAAAATCCAAAAGAATGTGATATTTGAAGGACTTCTGGTCCCAAGCATTTTGAATAAGGAGTACTCAGCTTGTATTTTCTTGTGCATTATAGTGAATGTTTTGATGAATAGCAACATCTTACATGATAATACATTAGGGCCTAAAGTTGAAGAAGTAAACATCAGTGAATCATGATTATTGTTACTCTAACTCTCCTTTTTGTAGAAAACTGAGGTAGTTTTACAACAGGGCAAACCTCTAATTTAGCTGGTGATTGCATACAATCTAGTGTGTTTTTAATCCTGAAGGAAAGCAGACCATATCACTACTTGGAATTACAATTTTGTGTTTGTGTTCACTTTTAGGTGACCCACAACACTACTCTGAATGGTAAAGATGCAGTTCATCACTGGAGTTGGGTCTCAGACCTGCCCTTGGAGTGTGCCACGCATTATGTGGGAATTAGATGCTATGTTGACAATCTTCTTTTCTCTGGTCACAAAGAGTGGAGTGACTGGAGCCCAGTGAAGAACGTTTCTTGTAAGCTTATATTTAAAGAATTTTTGTTTCAAATACCTACGAGCAAAGTTTAGTTTAAGTTTCCACTTCTTTGAACCCCATTTGGATGCATGAGGGTCACCTGGGGATCTTCCAAGTCTGCTATGCCTGGAGTCTGAGATAGGCTTCAGGAATATGTATTTTTAAAGAACTTTCTGAGTGATTGGATAAACATCAATGTTTGAAAATCAGTATGGTGGGCATTGAAGAACAATTAAAAATTTTATATAGGTGATAATGAGATCAAATCTACATTAAAAAAAAAAATGTTTCCCAATTTCTGGCCCACAGAGCAGGCACCTAGTAGCTGCAGAGTTATTGCAGGGAACATGAGATCCTGTAAACATGCCAAAAATTATCTGTACATTCAATAAAACTCATATACAGGAAGAATGTTGGCAGTGTGGGATATGGGGGAAGGCCCAGAAAATTGTTGACAATAAAATGAAGTCCTGAAAAAGCTGGTAATTATTGTAGATAAACCACTCTAGTGATAATATGGAAAAATGGATCAGAATGGATCAGAGGAATGAAGGACTAGATTAAAGAAAATTACTTTATTTATTTATTTATTTTTTTAGAGACAGGGTCTTGCTCTGTTGCTGGAGTGCAGTGGTGCAATCATAGCTCGCTGCAGCCTCAAATTCCTGGGCTCAAGCGATCCTCCCACCTCAGCCTCCCGAGCAGCTGGGACTACAGACATGCACCACCATGACTGGCTAATTTTTTAATGTTTTGTAAAGACTGGGTCTTGCTATGTTGCCCAGGCTGGTCTTGAACTCCTGGCCTCAGCGATACTCCCACCTTGGCCTCCCAAAGTGCTGGGATTACAGGTAGTGAGCCACTGCACCCTGCCAAAAATGAGTTTTTAGGCTGTGGAGTACTTGAACATGTATTTAGGCTAATGGAAAGTAAGAAATCTACCCTAAATACATAGGATGAAAAGAATGGAATTATTTAATGAGCGATTTTTTGGTATGGGGTGGTTCTCATGTGTACAAAAACTTGTTAAATTTGAATCTTAATACTTCTTAGACATTAACCTATGCTTAGACATTGACCTACCTGTGATCTGCTTCTGCTTCCTCACCATTACCCCTTCATAAGTAAATAAAACCACATGCAGTTCTGAATAATTTTTGGTATGTACCTCATTCCTTTGAAACCTGGGATTTCATGCCTTATCGTTGGGCCGCCATTATGACAAAGCACCTAATAGTATGTTGCGTATATACTGGGCTATTTTAAGAATCATCTTAGGAAAAAAGTCTTAGTATGAAGACTATTTTGTGTGAAAGACGTCTAAAATATTTATAATTCCTTTTGTTCTTTCTAGGGACTCCTGCTTCACAGCCTAAGGTTTTTCCTCAAGACAAAGTGATACTTGTAGGCTCAGATATAACATTTTGTTGTGTGAGTCAAGAAAAAGTGTTATCAGCACAGATTGGCAGTACATACTGTCCCCTTATCCATCTCGATGGGGAAAATGTTGCAATCAAGATCCGTAATATTTCTGTTTCGGACAGTAGTGGAACAAATGTGGTTTTCATGATAGAAGATAATGTATGTGGAACAGTTGTTTTTGCAGGATGTAAGTATAAGATTTTAAAGAGAGAGTTCCTGTTGACCTCTTTTGGGCCTCCTTGAAAGCCTTAATTCTTTTTCTGGTGGGGGAGGTGATTCTGCTTTTTTTTCTTATTTCTTTGTCTTTAATATAAATGATATGCAAAGGTACTAGGATCTTTGCTTGTTTTAAAATGAACCCTAAGCTTGTTTCCTAAATATCTGTATCTATGTAACTTGTAGGTTTTATAGTAAGATTTGAAATATCCAGCAGCTAATGCCTAGTTTAAATTCCTAGTTAATAGCTTTGTTAAGTCATAATATTTCTTAATCATACATTGTTTAGGAACTATTTCATACAAATTAATTCCCCACCTATTAAAGTATACCTTTTTAAGTACCTACATTAAAAAAATTATAATTTTATACAAAATCTTTCCATAGCAAAATGTGTCTTCTCCAACTTTTAAATAATGTATTTGAGGAGAACAGGATGGCTGGAGGACATGGGTGGGAACACTTGCTCTGTCACTGTGTTCTATGTATAACATATGCTCCCTCATTCGGAGGCATCTTTATTAACATGATCACTCCTACAGTCTACAGTTCACGATATTTCCAAAATATGTTGTTGCGACTTCTCTCTTCACATGGCTTACGTTAAATATCCACAGATAATTATGTGTTTAGTGTTTCTAGCTCTTGATTTTAGAGTTTTTCCACCTCCTTCCTTGTGGTGGCTATAATGTTTTGGCGTCACTGGTGGTGTCACCTCCAGCAGTAAGTCTCTTCCTCCCTGCATCCTGAATTAAAAGGCTCTGAGTTTGGTCTAAGTGTCTTATGGATAAAATATGTGAGATGGATTGAGTGGATTTTATGATTCTTTTTTTATTGCTTAGCGATTTTTCTTTTGCTTTTTTATAATTCTCAGCTATGGTCTAGACAGCAGCTCTCAGTCTCTTTTCTACTTCTTCAGTAACTTGTGATGATTGACATGCAGATACTAATATATTCCCAAGGGAATAAGCAGGACTAGGTACACTTCTCAGCTTGATGGTTCTAACCTTACCCTCTTTTTCTCTTCCCAGCAATGCATTTTGGAATTCAAGTGAAAGTGAGATTACGTTCAAATGTAAATTTTAGAAAATTATATTCTCTTTCTTTGGAGAATTTTAGGAAATTACTTGCAGCATTTCTCACAAATGATCCTAAAGTCTAAGTTGAGAGCCAGTGATATATATAGTATATGTAGTGAAGTTGCTTCATAAGCAATACGAAAAAGTGAGCTGTTCACTTAAAAATATGAAAGGAAAGATTAAAACTTTAAAGATGAGAATATACATTATCTCCATTTCTATTATTTCAGACAGTGTTCTAATCTTACAGTACTAGAATACAGTTATTTAATTCACAATTTAACCTTAATTTATAAGATTTGGAGGTGGAAATATTGTTTAATATCTTTCAAGTGGTAGGAGCATCTTCCTTCAGAGGGAACTGGTGGAAACTTACAAGAGCAGGTTGTAGTATAAGTTAGGGAGCAAGATTTATTTATTTTCTTTTCTTTGTGGATATCCTGTTAACCCGCCATTTATTGCTGATAAGAATTTTAGAATTAGCTGGCTAGTTTTCCCCTACACACATACACACACACATATACAATCTAAATCTGCTGGAATTTTGATTGGGGTTACATTAAAGCTATAGATCAATTCAGGAGAATTTTCATTCTTACAATATTGAGTCTTCCAAACCATGAACATGGTATATCCCTCCATTGACTTAGATCTTCTTCGATTTATCTTAGGGATTTGAGGTCTTTATATCTTTTGGTAAATTTATTCCTAGTGCTTGACGGTTTCTGGTGTTTTTAAAAATGGCTTTGTTTTTTAAATTGCATTTTCTATTTGCTGATGTATAAAATATAGTTGATTTGTACCTAACTTTTGCTTAGCTTCAGTTGATTCTTTCTTTGAAAAGAAAATGCTTATACTATCTTTCAAATACTGTCCTCTTATATTTTTTCCCCTTCTGTCTGTCCTTCAATTTCTTTCTAGTTCGTTCCTGATATTTGGATTTTAAGTATTTCAACTGAATGTATCTGCTGAATCCGACAATAATCAGCATTTGAAATATATTCCAAATTTTTGGTGTATGATTTTTAATAAAGCAGCTGAAAGTTTGGCCTTAGATTTAAAACAGTTTTCAAAATAAATATGTCAATGTTAGTTTAATTTTCCAGTTGTTGAACTTGTATATAAATACTCATTATTCCTCTTAATGTTAGTTAAAATATTATTGAAGGATTTTGTTCTTATCTCATATAGGCTTGGTTAAACATGATTACAAGAAATAACAGTTTCCATAATAAACAGTGTCAGACTACAGCATTTTCATTTATCACTTTAAAGGTCTCAACCAAAACACAAAATCAAAAACAAACAAAACGGAACAAAAGGACTTTTTTTCTTCTGGTCCTGTCCCAATATGCCAGAGAGAACAGTCTCGAAAAACAGAAAAAACAACAAAAGAGCAGTAGTAAGTTTGATTGTAAGGAGATGCAGAATTTTATCAAGAGTTCTTTGTAAATAATAGTCCTTATATTCAAGAACTCTGAAACTTGTAACATGACTTACATTGACTTTTAACATGATTTGGTGCTTTTTTTTTTCATATCACAGTATATAGATGATAGATGATAATACTTTTAACCTGTGGATTTTTCTGACTTAATGTATTGGATAAAAGTTTCTTTGAGAGATTTGATAGACTCTGAAATAGGATTTAAGGAAAAAAATGGCAATTGATCTCTCAAGTTGCTATAGGGAGTTTCCAAAAGAGCTATAAGTCACTTTTCAGTATATTTTAACCCATCATTTCTAATGTAATATGAACTGACAAAACATGCTATAGAAATAATACCTGCATTGTTCAAAAGTAAAATGTAAACAGTAAATTTTTTCTTGTTTAAGGAAATTATATAAAAACATTATTAACATTTATAAAACATTATGTTTTCAGGGAAAATATATTCCATCATAAGTACCTACATTTTTTTTTTCTTTTTTCTATTAGATCCACCTGATACTCCTCAGAAACTGAATTGTGAGACACACGATTTAAAAGAGATTATATGTAGTTGGAATCCAGGAAGACCAACAGGATTGGTGGGCCCCCGCAATACCAGTTACACGTTATTTGAAGGGTAATGATAACTGGGGAAAGGTGTGAAATGGCGAGGAGGACTTTTGAAGTACATGTTATATGACGTAGGGAAATGTACCAGATCCCTTATTTTATGAGCAAGATATAAAACCAAGTATGTTGTGTAAAAGTATGTGCTCTATAAATACTGCAATTTAGCCACATGTAGACTTGATTTCATGTCTCCTCTTTTATGAAGGTCAGAAGGAAGAACCCTTAATGAACAGACTGTTTCTGTGTAGCTTATGACTGATTATTTTCTTCCATTTTCGATATCACATACATTTTCTTCTCTGAGTATGTAAAATGTGTATAATTAGAAATGTAAACTTTTTATAAAAATTATTCAAAATTTGGCCATTCATTTTGTCCTGCTATATTTATCTCTTGCCATTTTGAAATTATTTTTCTTTTAATTGACAGTTTTTCAGGAAAATATGTTAGATTTAAAAGAGTTGAAGTGTCCACAAATGAAAGCTATCATCAGTTACTCTTTCAAATGGTTCCAAATCAAGAAATATATAATTTTACTTTGTATGCTCGCAATCCTCTGGGTCGATCACAATCAACAATTTTAGTTAACATAACTGAAAAAGGTAAGCTACTGCGTAAACCAGTACTTTAAAAATAATTTTAGAAGTGGTTAAAATGCCTTGAGATTAATGAAAAGTGCTTCCAGAGTTTACTTTTTACCGATTATTTTCTTTATAGTTACTTAATATTAATTTTATTATTTTAAAAGCTTTAAAATGTGTAATTTCAAGTTTTACTATTGAATTTAAATAAAGATTTGAATTACTCATTTACAAAGAAGCTAAGTATAGCTCTGTCTTATAATTGTTGATTTCTGAAATATTTTTTTGCTCAAATTTTAAAACCTTTATTGTGAAATAATTATAGACTCAACAGTAGTTGTAAAAATAATAAATTAGAGCCTTGTGGGCCCGTCCCCTGGCCTTCCCCAGTGGTGTCATTCTGTGTAACTGTAGTATAGTGTCAAAACCAGGGAACTGACACTGATATACGGCACTGTGAACTAGACTATTGACATTGCTCAGTTTTCATGTGCTTTCGTTTGTATTTGTATGTGTGTGTCATCCTGTGCAGTTTATCTTGTGTATAGATGATTCATGTAACCACCACCACAATCAAGATCCAGACCTGCTCTTTCACCACCAAAGCACTCCACATGTTGCCCTTCAGCTCCCTGCCCCTCACCACACACCCCCCTGTGCCTTGGCAACAGCTGATCTGTTCTTTGCCTCTGTTGCTTTGTCATTTTGAGAGTGTTACATAAAGGAAATCATGCAGTACGTAACGTTTTGAGGTTGGCACTTTTTACTAAGGATAATGTCCTGGAGAACCATACAAGTCGTATGTATCAATAATTATTCCTTTTTATTGTTGATGATTGCTGAATTTTTACCAGCCCTATTAATGTATAGCTCAAAATAGAAATAAAATGCAGTGATCTTTTTGGCATTCATTCCCATGGTCAATCCATGTGCATTAACTCCCTGCCAGGCTCTGCAGCACACAGAGCAATGGCATAGAGCTGCGGTCCCCAACCCCCGGGCCAGGCCGCAGAGCTCTGCCAACACCCCAACCCACCCCACCCTCCCCCAACCCCATTTGTGGAAAAATTGTCTTCCATGAAACTCATGAGGAGCAGGCTGAGTGAGCCAGCTGTGTATTGTAGCTGCTCCCCATTGCTCGCATCACCACCCGAACTCGGCACACACCGCCCCGCCCCGCCCTTCTGTGGAAAAATTATCTTCCATGAAACTGGTCCCTGGTGATTAGTAGATGATCCCATGGCCTTGTTTGTGAATATAGTTACTTTTATCAGTTATTCCTTCCTGTCATCTTTGTTATTTCCTGATTTTTGCTGGGGCCATGATGGCTACATTTTATCCTTGAGTTGGTAGTATTTGTATGTGTGTGTCTGCCCTCTGTCATTTAAACCTTATTACCTGTGTGATTCTTTTCCTCCACCCGAGTGGGTGTATGCATGGTCAGCAATAATGCAGTTAGCTTTGTTGTACCTTCGTTCTTACCAAAACCTCAACCTGAAGTGCTTTTTTTATATTTGTTTTGCCAGTTTTAGTCTGATTCTTCCTTCAAAGCTCATCTTAAGTTCCATCTTCACTGTAAGACTTCCCTTACCATGCTTACATTTAAATTCCTGTAGCAGTTAATATCTGTACCATGCATTGGAACTTTGTGTTTATACTCTTACTCATTTTCTTTCGTTTTCTTGGTCATTCCCCAAGTAAATTAGAAATTCCTTAAAGGTAGAGACTGTGATCTTCCTACCTTTTAGTATTCCCAGCACCAGCTGAAGAACCTTGAGCATGATTGATTCCTAAAAAATTTTGGCATGATGTCAGCAGTAAAAGTGAGGTTTGTGGATTCCACAAATACTGGGTAGAATATTGTTGTTCAGCACTAATGATACCTTCTTATTTTTTTGTTTTTTCATTCTCACTGGTCATATTAGAAGATAGCTTTCCCCTTTAAATAAATGTTTAAAGTAATTAATCTTTAAAATTATGTTTACAGTTTATCCCCATACTCCTACTTCATTCAAAGTGAAGGATATTAATTCAACAGCTGTTATACTTTCTTGGCATTTACCAGGCAGCTTTGCAAAGATTAATCTTTTATGTCAAATTGAAATTAAGAAAATTAATTCAGTACAAGAATTGGTAAGTAAGATTCTTCTGTAAACTTCCTTTGTGATCATTTTGGATCAAACAGTTCTCAAAATGCATTAAGTAAATTGATATGATTAAGTTCTCAGATTATTTATTGTAGAGATTTACTAAGAACCAAGAATGACATATATCAGTGTAATAGCATTATATTTATCACATTTGAAAAATAATTGTAATAGTGGATAGTATAGAATGTAAATATGACTTTTACTACTCAGAATGTTCCCAGTGCAGTGTGGTACCTGGCACATAGCTGGTGTTTGGTCAGTTTGTGAATGAATTAGCAGCTTTCGCTGTAACCTTTAGCATCAGTTAATGGATTAATTGGCACCAGAGAGCAGAAGTGATTTTTAAAACTGCGAAGTGCAGCAATGGGAGCCAGTTGTAATTGGTGATTATAAGTCAAAATGTGACTTTTCAATACATTTTAAATATTTAGGTTGACTTTTATACTACACCATCTTGTAGTTTGTGGTAATTCTAAAATAAATGATATTCTACTTAACTATTCATTTGGAAATTTACTGATTTTGAGAAAATCAGCCAAAACTGTAAAATATAACCTGAAAAACTGCTTTGTAATAAGTCAGTGGGAGCTCAGAGGCTTTTGTGAGACATGCAGATCTTCAGATTGATTTGTAATTGCTTCATTTTAATTTTATTTATTTAGTTTAAATAAGTATTTGTTGGATATTTACTATGTGGTCAGCACCATCCTAGGGGATTCTATGTGACATATTAACAAAGATGCATAAAAGACAATGCCTGCCTCCAAGAAGCCTCCAAATATCATCTGAGTAATATATTTAATCCTCAAGATCATCTCAAATTACTAAATTATGTGAGGGTTTATTGCATCACTGTGACCATTGACTAATTATCAAAATTTTATCTTCTGCATAATTTAATTGATGATTATTACTTAAAGCCAATATTTGGATTAAAAAGACATCCTAGTTTTTTATTGTCATGACAGAGCATAACTTCACTGACTCGGCATTTATGTAAGAATTTAAATATTACAGTGGATGAACTGCTTTTGGTGTTACATACATATGCCAACTCACATGGACATTTGGCTGATTTATGTTACAAATGTGAAGGCTTTACCAATGAAATGTTGTATGTATGTGTATATATGTGTATTCATACACGCATGGTATGTACACATATATATACTTGTATTTATTTGCTTTCTAATAGCGGAATGTGACAATCAAAGGAGTAGAAAATTCAAGTTATCGCATTGCTGTGGGCAAGTTAAATCCATATACTGTGTATACTTTTCGGATTCGCTGTTCTACTGAAACTTTCTGGAAATGGAGCAAATGGAGCAATAAAAAACAGCATTTAACCACAGAAGCCAGTGAGTTACCTAAGTGATTTATGGCTAATTATTACTGTGTATCTTGAAGTTTTACAACTTTTTTTTTAAAGAAAATGTTATCAAAGTTTTTAGAAGTAGGGGAATACTTTGATAATAAATTATGCAATATCTACTAATAAAATATCACAGACATTTAAATGATGGGTGTTAAAGTTTTGTCATAATTTGGAAAAATGTTTGGCATAAATTCTGTAGAAGTACTGGGGGCTTCTCTGTCTACACTGTGATTGCAACTATATTACAATAATGCATAGGAAAATAAACTTGAAACTGTGGTATGATTATAGGATGATTTTTCTCCCATCTTTTCCTCCTCCTGTTGGAATTTTAATAATTCCTTTAACTCAGGTTGCCTTTTTCTCTAAAACAACTATTAATAAAGAGAATTTGTTAGAGTTTTTCTTTGGGACCTAGGCCTGAGAAACGATGCGACTTTAAAAGGTCTTGAATATAAGTTTCTATAGTATACATATACTAGATCAAAATGTAAAATCAGGTAGCTGGTTTTCTGAATATGATAATTTCTAAAGACAGAATAGTATTCAATCCTTGAATAACCAGATGTCACCTTTAAAAACAAAACAAGACAAAACTTAGAAATAGGTATAATTTTGAGGAATCATTTGTGGGGGAAAGGAAAACTTCCCCTTTGCCCCCAGAAGTTTCGCCGAAAAGTTGACTCATAATAAGGCAGATTAAAAAGAGAAAAAGATTACAAATTTATTTACCACTTGCATGGGGAGAATCACAGAGTGATTACCCAATATCCCAGTGGGGTCCAGAAGTTTATATATATCCTCATTTTAGAGGGGAGGAGGAGATGAGGAATACAGGTAATTCTGTTGAGGGGCAATAAATGAATACTAGGGAGGATGAATAGATAATTGAGAGAATGAATGAATGGAGGGAAACAGATTGACTTGTAAATGATTCTTTGGAAATTAAATTAACCTGAGAGACAGGTATTATCTTTAAAATGGATTAGGCCAGGTCTGGTTGCATCTTGATCTTCTATCCTGCAATATATTGAGACAACAGGGAGGAGAAGGAAAGACAATTATTCTTCTTGGTGGGTCCATCTGGTTTTTAATGAAGATAGAGGGAAAGCCCCTTCCAATGCCTATTGATCTCTAAGGGCCTTTAATTCAAAATACTCTTTATAACAAGGAGTCATATTTTGGGGTGAAATTCTCTGAGCTCCTTCACATTCAATAAAAGATAACAAATCCTTTATCTGTACTGCATAACCCGGGAAATATAAAACTTCCTCCAAAAAAAATTAACAAACAGTAAAAAACAAAATGATAGATGTTAATTCATATTTTGCCTCTCCACATGAAGAGATGTGAAAATAGAGATGAGGGCCCTTTGCAGTATGTGTAACAGGAGGTGAGTGGGGACTGCAGGCTTGACTGCGGCTAGAGGATCCACTTTCAAGGTGGTTCACTCACATGGCTGTTGGTAGGTGGCCTCAGTTCCTCACCGTGTGGTCTTCTCTGTAGGCGTGCTTCAGTGTCCTCGTGACATGTAGCTAGCTCCTCCCAGAGCTGATGATCGAGGAATGTCTTTTGTGATCTAAAATCAGAAGTGATGTACCATCGCGTCTGCTGTACCCCATTGGTCACACAGGCCAACTGTGATAGAGCGTGAGAGAGGATGGATATCAGGAGGTGTGGGGATCATTGGCCATTTGGGAGGCTGGCTGCGACAGGAGTTTTTGACTTAAGTTAATGAGCTATTGTTGCCAAGAGGAAACATCTTCATCTCACTGAGATGAAGGCTTTAATTCACTCAGAAAATATTCACCAAGTATGCATTGCAGATTGAGCATCCTAATCCAAAAATCCAAAATCCAAAATCCTCCAAGATCCAAAACTTTTTGAGGGCTGACATGATGCCACACATAAGTACATAGCATAAACTTTGTTTCATGTACAAAATTATTTAAAACATTGTATAAAATTACCTGCAGGCTATGTGTATAAGGAGTATATGAAACATAAATGAATCTTGTGTTTAGACCAAGGTCCCATCCCAAAGATATCTTATTATGTACATGCAAATATTCCAGCATCTAAAAAAAATCTGAAACACTTCTGGTCCCAGGCATTTCGGATAACGGGTATTCAACCTGTATGTGCTAGGAATTGTTCTAGTTACCAGGGACACAGCAGTGGATAAAACAGAGCTCTCTGCCTGTAGAGTTTGCGGATCCAGAATTAGGAATAAATTAATTAAATAAATACACACACACACACACACACACTATATATATATATATATATATATAAAAATAAAGTATGTCAGGTGGTGGTGAGTGCCACAGAGCAAAATAAGGGACAGGAAGGGGGCCGGGAGATGAAGACAGAGGTTGGGGGGTAGGGTGTGAAGGGAATTGCAGTTTTCAATAGCATGGTTAGGAAAGACCTTATTAGGATAATATTTGAGCTGAGATGTAAAGGAGATGAGGAAGCAAGCCTCATGATTTATCGAAGAGAAGAGTTCTAGGCAGAGGAAGAGAGGACACAGAAAGTGCACAGAGCCTGAGGCAGGTGTCCATGGCATATCTGAGGAACAGCCAGGAAGCCAGTGGGTGGCCAGAGCTGCCCTGACTTGGGGGAGATTAGGGGAGGGGGGTGACAGGTACTGGGGCCAGTCAGGAAGGCCCTGGAGGGTGATTTTAACCCAGTCTGAGGGGCCTTGTGTTTTGTGAAAGTTGAGAGCTTAGCTTTTCCATTGCTTCATTTGCTAAGTGAAAGCCACTGAACTGATTCACATTTTATTGAGAATTCCATATACCCTAGAAAAAAATTTCAAGCACCATGGTATGTATAGTATGTATCTATCTTCAAGTACTAACTTTTAAATCTCCTTTCTAGTTCCTTCAAAGGGACCTGATACTTGGAGAGAGTGGAGTTCTGATGGGAAAAATTTGATAATCTATTGGAAGGTAACTATCTAATTTTTCCTTGTGCATTTACATAACTTTATTATACAAAAGTGCTTTTGGTTATCAAGGAGCTGAGATTTCCCGGACTGGCTTTGTTTGCAGTATCGCGGAGAATCTAACCTGGCTCCTAAAAGCCCCCAAATGCCTCGTCACTCCTGATTCCCCATGGTCATTAGTGAGGATCTTCTGTCTCAGATCTGGGCATTCTTTAGTGAGGCCTATAAAGGACCTGAGGATTTCATGAATCCCATCTCCCTCGCCTTACGTCAGAAACTACGAGTTAGAATGTCAAATGTTTGTTACATTTTTCTTCTATGAATGGGGAACTGGCTTTTTATATATTTCATGGGTAATTTGTTTACCTTAAATTGTGCTATAATATGCCAATTATAAAGTTTGGCATGTTTTTGTAAAATATTTAGATTAAATGTGAAAATAATTTAAACATATTTAAAATAATTAAACATTATATTTTA